CTATACCGTGGAATGTGCACCGTTACAACGTGGATTGCACACTGTTATAACGTGGAACTCACACTGTTATAACGTGGGATGAGCGCCGTTACGACCTGGAACTCACACTGTTATAATGTGGAATTCCCACCGTTACGACGTGGAACTTATACTGATATAGCATGGAATGAGCACCGTTACAACGTGGAACTCACTGTTATAACGTGGAATGTGCACCATTACAACGTGGGTCGCACACTGTTATAACGTGGAACTCACACTGTTATAACGTGGAATGCGCACCGTTTCGACGTGGAACTCAGACTGTTCTAACATGTAATGCGCACCGTTTCGATGTGGAACGCAGACTGTTATAACATGGAATGCGCACCGTTACGACGTGGAACTCACACTGTTGTAACATGGAATGCGCACCGTTACAACGTGGAACTCACACTGTTATAACGTGGAATGCGCACCGTTACAACGTGGAACTTACACTGCTATACCGTGGAATGTGCACCGTTACCACGTGGATCGCACACTGTTATAACGAGGAACTCACACTTTTATAATGTGGAATGCGCGCCGTTACGATGTGGAACTCAGACTGTTATAACGTGGAATGAGCGCCATTACGACGTGGAACTCAGACTGTTATAACATGGAATGCGCACCGTTACAACGTGGAACTCACACTGTTATAACGTGGAATGCGTACCATTACAACGTGGAACTCACACTGTTATAACGTGGAATGCGCACCGTTATAACGTGGATCTCAGACTGTTATAACATGGAATGCGCACCCTTACGACGTGGAACTCATACTGTTATAACATGGAATGCGCACCGTTATGACGTGGAACTCACACTGTTATAACATGAATGTGCACCCTTACGACGTGGAACTCACAATGTTATAACATGGAATGCGCACCCTTACGACGTGGAACTTACATTGTTATAACGTGGAACGCGCACCGTTACAACGTGGATCGCACACTGTTATAACGTGGAACTCACACTGTTATAACGTGGAATGTGCGCCGTTACGACGTGGAACTCACACTGTTATAACGTGGAATGCGCACTGTTTTGACGTGGAAATCAGACTGTTATAACATGGAATGCGCACCGTTACAACGTTGATCGCACACTGTTGTAACATGGAATGCACACCGTTATAACGTGGAACTCAGACTGTTATAACATGGCATGCACACCGTTATAACGTGGAACTCAGACTGTTATAACATGGAATGCACGCCGTTACAACGTGGAACTCACACTGTTATAACATGGAATGCGCACCGTTACAACGTGGATCGCACACTGTTGTAACATGGAATGCACACCGTTATAACGTGGAACTCAGACTGTTGTAACATGGAATGCGCACCCTTACGACGTGGAACTCACACTGTTATAACATGGAATGCGCACCATTACAACGTGGATCGCACACTGTTATAACGTGGATCTCACACTGTTATAACGTGGAATGCACACCGTTACGACTTGGAACTCAGACTGTTATAACATGTAATGCGCACCGTTATAACGCGGTATCTGAGCAGTCGACATCGAAAACTACTTTTGGAACTGCGCGCCTGAGCGGTACAGTGAAACAGTACACGGAATGATACAGCAACACAGTGGTGTACCCTCAATAAGTTGTCCTGGAATCTCCTTGTGTGTGCCTACGGCGTATCTTGCCGAACTTGGTTGTTCCATGACATATATGCGCGGCACTTTTCAGGAACGCATCGGCCGTGTTAAATGAGGACGGTTCCATCACTCGCCACGTAGCGGCGGCTAACCATCAGATGCAGTTGTCACCCCTTGCACTTGCTTTCTTTTAGCTAAACTCATTTATTTTTTTCTGCCTTTTTACTCTTGCTCTCACTTCCTCGCTTAAACGCTGTTATACACCGAAATTAAAATTCAATTAAAAAAAAACTACCATCACAAACGAAGGCAAAAATAGCTCAAAAGGCACTGGCACTTGAAGAGTAAAAAGCCTTAGGCAAGTGGAATCGCTAGAGCGGAGGGCACAATCCAGTAAGCGTGCCGTGAAAGTAAAGTGCCCCCCTTGTCGTGATGCGATGTTGCGACGTCTCGAATAGTCCCGGGGAAATAAGTGCGCCAAAGTTGAACTGGTGTCCAAATATAAAATGGCGAATGGTCGAATTTCCGCGAAATAAACGAATCCGCAAATGAAGAGGTTTTACTGTTATGGTGTTAAGTGGTGTAATCAAATTGTTTAGAGTAGTGGTGTGAGTGTCTACTGTAGTGGTGTAGTGTATTGACGGCGTGTATCCCTGCAGGGGTGTGCTGTAGTGGGGGTGGTGGTGTGGGGTGTAGGTGACTAGATCACATTCCCGATGCCTTCAGTGTGGGTTTGGTGAATGTGCCCTCAGTTGGTCTGGCGCGTGCGTGCCGACGATGAGGCTGGTGGCTGCTGAGTGTCGTCGGTGATGTCTGCCGAGTTGCAGGAGAGTCGTGTGTCTGGTGCCAGTGAAGTGGTGTCTGGTGAGGGTTAGGCGGTTGACTGGTGAGTGGTGGTGTCGTGGGAATGGTGAGTGGTGTCTGGTGAGTGGTGCCTGGTGAGTGGTGTCTGGTGAGTAGCGTCTTGTGAGTGGTGTCTGGTGAGTGGTGTCTGGTGAGTGGTGTCTGGTGAGTGGTGTGTGGTGCCAGTGAAGTGGTGTCTGGTGAGTGGTGTCTGGTGAGTGGTGTCTGGTGAGTGGCGTCTGGTGAGTGGTGTCTGGTGAGTGGTGTGTGGTGCCAGTGAAGTGGTGTCTGGTGAGTGGTGTCTGGTGAGTGATGTGTGGTGCCAGTGAAGTGGTATCTGGTGAGTGGCGTCTGGTGAGTGGTGTCTGGTGAGTGGCGTCTGGTGAGTGGTGTCTGGTGAGTGGTGTCTGGTGTCGTGGGAATGGTGAGTGGTGTCTGATGAGTGGCGTCTGGTGAGTGGTGTCTGGTGTCGTGGGAATGGTGAGTGGTGTCTGATGAGTGGCGTCTGGTGAGTGGTGTCTGGTGAGTGGTGTCTGGTGAGGGGCGTCTGGTGAGTGGTGTCTGGTGAGTGGCGTCTGGTGAGTGGTGTCTGGTGAGTGGTGTGTGGTGAGTGGCGTCTGGTGAGTGGTGTCTGGTGAGTGGCGTCTGGTGAGTGGTGTCTGGTGCCAGTGAAGTGGCGTCTGGTGAGTGGTGTCTGGTGAGTGGTGTCTGATGAGTGGCGTCTGGTGAGTGGTGTCTGGTGAGTGGCGTCTGGTGAGTGGTGTCTGGTGAGTGGTGTCTGGTGAATGGCGTCTGGTGAGGCTCAGGCGGTTGACTGGTGAGCGGTGGTGTCGTGGGAATGGTGAGTGGTGTCTGATGAGTGGTGTCTGGTGCGGGTCAAATGTGAGGCGAGTGCCTGGTTGGTCACTGATAGTGGTGTCTGGTGAGCGGTAAACAGGCCACCTCGTCAGGTGGTGAGTGTCTGGTGAGTGTTGGGGGTGGCCAATAGAAGAGGGGGCAGAGTTCGTGGTGGAGAAACCAGTAAGGGGAGAATTGTTGAAGTAATAGGAATGAGCCGATGGAGAAGATAACCCCGTCGTTTATCGGACGCGCTGGCGTGGGGTCATCACGATTCACATTCCTTCGTTAAACCACTGCTGGATGAAGGCTTCCCCACTCCGTGTCACTCAATGAGAGTGTTTCGCCATACTTCACCACGCTCGTAAGTGCGGCTTTTGTGAAGGGGTGGCCAATGGAACAGGGGTGAAAGGGGTGCCTCACCACTGCGCCACCACTCCTCTAATTTTTTGTAAACTTATATTTGGTTGATATTGTGACTTTGCTGCTGTTTTTCGTATTCTATTTATCACATGCGATGTGTGTTATTTTGTTTGTGATACGTTTTAAAAGAAACACTAGCATTGCCGTCTCACCTAAGTTTTCGTAAAGTTTACCTGGCCATGTAGAGACTGCAGAGAAAGCCTTTGTACTGACACCTCATAACCCATCAAGTCTGGAGGGAAACCCTCTGTGCTGACACCATGTAACCCATGAAGTCTGGAGGGAAACCCTCTGTGCTGACACCATGTAACCCATCAAGTCTGGAGGGAAACCCTCTGTGCTGACACCTAACTCATCAAGTCTGGAGGGAAACCCTCTGTGCTGACACCTAACTCATCAAGTCTGGAGGGAAACCCTCTGTGCTGGCACCTATCTCATTAAGTCTGGAGCAAAACCCTCTGTGCTGGCACTTAACTCGTATAGTCTGGAGGGAAACCCTCTAAGCTGACACCTAACTCATCAAGTCTGGAGGGAAACCCTCTGTGCTGGCACCTATCTCATCAAGTCTGGAGGGAAACCCTCTGTGCTAACACCACGTAACCCATCAAGTCTGGAGGGAAACCCTCTGTGCTGACACCTAACTTATCAAGTCTGGAGGGAAACCATCTGTGCTGGCACCTAACTGATCAAGTCTGGAGGGAAACCCTCTGTGCTGACACCTAACTCATCAAGTCTGGAGGGAAACCCTCTGTGCTGGCACCTAACCCATCAAGCCTGGAGGGAAACCCTCTGTGCTGACACCACGTAACCCATGAAGTCTGGAGGGAAACCCTCTGTGCTGACACCATGTAACCCATCAAGTCTGGAGGGAAACCCTCTGTGCTAACATCACGTAACCCATCAAGTCTGGAGGGAAACCCTCTGTGCTGACACCATGTAACCCATGAAGTCTGGAGGGAAACCCTCTGTGCTGACACCATGTAACCCATCAAGTCTGGAGGGAAACCCTCTGTGCTAACACCACATAACCCATCAAGTCTGGAGGGAAACCCTCTGTGCTGACACCACGTAACACATAATCTTAGTTCTTTCGGTAAAGTCACGTTGAAGGGAAACAATAAAATAATAAAATATATATAAAACAATAAAAATTCTCACGACCGTTTGTGTTATGGTCGAAACGTCGTGAGAATTTTTATTGTTTTATATATATTTTATTATTTTATTGGTTCCCTTCAACGTGACTTTACCGAAAGAACTAAGAATATGAATTACTGCAGTCACGAAAGCTTTAAATCAAAATTTAACCACGTAACACATCAAGCCTGGAGGGAAACCCTGTGTGCTAACACCACGTAACCCACCAAGCCTGGAGGGAAACCCTCTTTGCTAACACCACATAACACCACATAACCCATCAAGTCTGGAGGGAAACCATCTGTGCTGACACCACGTAACCCATCAAGCCTGGAGGGAAACCCTCTGTGCTAACACCACGTAACCCATCAAGTCTGGAGGGAAACCCTCTGTGCTAACATCACGTAACCCATTAAGTCTGGAGGGAAACCCTCTGTGCTGACACCACGTAACCCATCAAGTCTGGAGGGAAACCCTCTGTGCTGACACCACGTAACCCATCAAGTCTGGAGGGAAACCCTCTGTGCTGACACCACGTAACTCATCAAGCCTGGAGGGAAACCCTCTGTGCTGACACGGTGGTCCGGTCCTCGCGTCAGGGTTTGGGGGTCGAGAAGGCGGAGTTTCGCCTCCCCCTCTCTTCCTCTCACCTCCTCCTCGTCGTCGTCTCTCCCTCTCTCGTTCGTCGACCCCGGAGCCCGAACCCGGGACTCGAACTCATGACCCGGAGCGAGCGGCGCGGATTTTGCGGAGGTGCAACAGAGCGAGAGAGAGAGACAGTACACGAGTGAGTTGGCAAAGCAGTGAGAGAGTGTGTGTAAGTATGGCTGTCCATGTGTGTGTGTGTGCGTGTCACACACACACATACACGTGTCCGCCTGTAACTGCCGCGTGTACACGCGTGTACGTGTGTGCAGCACACGGCGCAATCCGTGTATAGACGTGTACACGTGTTCGAGTGTGTACACGTACAGCATAAGTAATGTACAGCATAGTTCATATCCTGCACCCGCATCTGTGTACACGTGCATGTGTGCATGGTGTGTACTCTACAGCGAGTGTACACGTGTGTGCATGGTGTGTGTGTGTGTGCATGGTGTGTGTGTGCATGGTGTGTGTGTGCATGGTGTGTGTGTGTGCATGGTGTGTGTGTGTGCATGGTGTGTGTGTGCATGGTGTGTGCGTGTGCATGGTGTGTGTGTGTGCATGGTGTATGTGTATGGTGTGCGTGTGCATGGTATGCATGGTACTCGTGTGCATGGTGTGTACTCGTGTGCGTGGTGTGTACTTGTGTGCGTGGTGTGTGTGGTGTCTGTGTGCATGGTGTGTAATCTACAGTAAAGTTACACGTGCACACTCGTGGCTGCTCACAACACTTGCTCCAACAGTACAAGCGCGCGTGTGTGTACAAGTGTCTGTTATTTGCTTTGAATCTATACCTACGTGACTTTACCGAAAGAGCCAAGAATATGTCTATACAAGTGTTTGTACACACTGCAGAGTACAAGTGTGTACTGTATTTACAAGAGCACACACGGCTTGTATTGTGTAATTTGTACTTTAAAACTCCGTCACCCTCGTTCGAAAGGCTGCACTTTTAAAAGTTTAGTTGCATTTTATTTGAGCGTTTTGCGTGCGTCTCCGTCGCCTACCGGGAAGCTTTGCTGAGTCTTGTGTCACCAGAGCCTGGGGCGCTGCACCGTGCGAGCGGCGTGTGTCAGTGTGTACCCTGTGTGTGTCTGTGTGTACCCTGTGTGTGTGTCTGTGTGTACCCTGTGTGTGTGTGTCTGTGTGTACCCTGTGTGTGTCTGTGTGTAACCCTGTGTGTGTGTCTGTGTGTACCCTGTGTGTGTGTCTGTGTGTAACCCTGTGTGTGTGTCTGTGTGTACCCTGTGTGTGTGTCTGTGTGTACCCTGTGTGTGTGTCTGTGTGTACCCTGTGTGTGTGTCTGTGTGTACCCTGTGTGTGTGTCTGTGTCTAACCCTGTGTGTGTGTCTGTGTGTACCCTGTGTGTGTGTCTGTGTAACCCTGTGTGTGTCTGTGTGTACCCTGTGTGTGTCTGTGTGTAACCCTGTGTGTGTGTCTGTGTGTACCCTGTGTGTGTGTCTGTGTGTACCCTGTGTGTGTGTCTGTGTGTACCCTGTGTGTGTGTGTCTGTGTGTACCCTGTGTGTGTGTCTGTGTGTACCCTGTGTGTCTGTGTGTAACCCTGTGTGTGTCTGTGTGTACCCTGTGTGTGTGTGTCTGTGTGTACCCTGTGTGTGTGTCGGTGTGTACCCTGTGTGTGTGTCTGTGTGTAACCCTGTGTGTGTGTCTATGTGTACCCTGTGTGTGTGTCTGTGTGTACCCTGTGTGTGTCTGTGTGTAACCCTGTGTGTGTGTCTGTGTGTAACCCTGTGTGTCTGTGTGTACCCTGTGTGTGTGTCTGTGTGTACCCTGTGTGTGTGTCTGTGTGTAACCCTGTGTGTGTGTCTGTGTGTACCCTGTGTGTGTGTTTCTGTGTGTACCCTGTGTGTGTGTCTGTGTGTAACCCTGTGTGTGTCTGTGTGTAACCCTGTGTGTGTGTCTGTGTGTAACCCTGTGTGTGTGTCTGTGTGTACCCTGTGTGTGTTTCTGTGTGTAACCCTGTGTGTGTGTCTGTGTGTACCCTGTGTGTGTGTCTGTGTGTACCCTGTGTGTGTGTCTGTGTGTACCCTGTGTGTGTGTCTGTGTGTACCCTGTGTGTGTGTCTGTGTGTACCCTGTGTGTGTGTCAGTGTGTACCCTGTGTGTGTGTCTGTGTGTACCCTGTGTGTGTGTCTGTGTGTAACCCTGTGTGTGTGTCTGTGTGTACCCTGTGTGTGTGTCTGTGTGTAAACCTGTGTGTGTGTCAGTGTGTACCCTGTGTGTGTCTGTGTGTACCCTGTGTGTGTGTCTGTGTGTATCCCTGTGTGTGTGTCAGTGTGTACCCTGTGTGTGTGTCAGTGTGTAACCCTGTGTGTGTGTCTGTGTGTACCCTGTGTGTGTGTCTGTGTGTAACCCTGTGTGTGTGTCTGTGTGTACCCTGTGTGTGTGTCTGTGTGTACCCTGTGTGTGTGTCAGTGTGTACCCTGTGTGTGTGTCTGTGTGTACCCTGTGTGTGTGTCTGTGTGTAACCCTGTGTGTGTCTGTGTGTACCCTGTGTGTGTGTCTGTGTGTAAACCTGTGTGTGTGTCAGTGTGTACGCTGTGTGTGTCTGTGTGTACCCTGTGTGTGTGTCTGTGTGTATCCCTGTGTGTGTGTCAGTGTGTACCCTGTGTGTGTGTCAGTGTGTAACCCTGTGTGTGTGTCTGTGTGTACCCTGTGTGTGTGTCTGTGTGTAACCCTGTGTGTGTGTCTGTGTGTACCGTGTGTGTGTGTCTGTGTGTAAACCTGTGTGTGTGTGTCAGTGTGTACCCTGTGTGTGTCTGTGTCTGTGTGTACCCTGTGTGTGTGTCTGTGTGTATCCCTGTGTGTGTGTGTGTAACCCTGTGTGTGTGTCTGTGTGTACCCTGTGTGTGTGTGTCTGTGTATACCCTGTGTGTGTCAGTGTGTACCCTGTGTGTGTGTCTGTGTGTACCCTGTGTGTGTGTCTGTGTGTAACCCTGTGTGTGTGTCTGTGTGTACCCTGTGTGTGTGTCTGTGTGTAAACCTGTGTGTGTGTGTGTAACCCTGTGTGTGTGTCTGTGTGTACCCTGTGTGTGTGTGTCTGTGTATACCCTGTGTGTGTGTCAGTGTGTACCCTGTGTGTGTGTGTCTGTGTGTACCCTGTGTGTGTGTACCCTGTGTGTGTGTCTGTGTGTAACCTGTGTGTGTGTCTGTGTGTACCCTGTGTGTGTGTCTGTGTGTACCCTGTGTGTGTGTCTGTGTGTACCCTGTGTGTGTGTCTGTGTGTAACCCTGTGTGTGTGTGTCTGTGTGTACCCTGTGTGTGTGTCTGTGTGTACTCTGTGTGTGTCTGTATGCACCCTGTGTGTGTGTCTGTGTGTACCCTGTGTGTGTGTCTGTGTGTAACCCTGTGTGTGTGTCTGTGTGTGCCCTGTGTGTGTGTCTGTGTGTAACCCTGTGTGTGTGTCTGTGTGTACCCTGTGTGTGTGTCTGTGTGTACCCTGTGTGTGTGTCTGTGTGTACCCTGTGTGTGTGTCTGTGTGTAACCCTGTGTGTGTGTCTGTGTGTACCCTGTGTGTGTCTGTGTGTACCCTGTGTGTGTGTGTGTACCCTGTGTGTGTCTGTGTGTACCCTGTGTGTGTGTGTCTGTGTGTAACCCTGTGTGTGTGTCTGTGTGTACCCTGTGTGTGTCTGTGTGTACCCTGTGTGTGTGTCTGTGTGTACCCTGTGTGTGTGTCTGTGTGTACCCTGTCGTGTGTCTGTGTGTAACCCTGTGTGTGTCACTGTGTACCCTGTGTGTGTGTCTGTGTGTAACCCTGTGTGTGTGTCTGTGTGTACCCTGTGTGTGTCTGTGTGTACCCTGTGTGTGTGTCTGTGTGTACCCTGTGTGTGTGTCTGTGTGTACCCTGTGTGTGTGTCAGTGTGTAACCCTGTGTGTGTGTCTGTGTGTACCCTGTGTGTGTGTCTGTGTGTACCCTGTGTGTGTGTCTGTGTGTACCCTGTGTGTGTGTCTGTGTGTAACCCTGTGTGTGTGTGTCTGTGTGTACCCTGTGTGTGTGTCTGTGTGTACTCTGTGTGTGTCTGTGTGCACCCTGTGTGTGTGTCTGTGTGTACCCTGTGTGTGTGTCTGTGTGTAACCCTGTGTGTGTGTCTGTGTGTACCCTGTGTGTGTGTCTGTGTGTAACCCTGTGTGTGTGTCTGTGTGTACCCTGTGTGTGTGTCTGTGTGTACCCTGTGTGTGTGTCTGTGTACCCTGTGTGTGTGTCTGTGTGTAACCCTGTGTGTGTGTCTGTGTGTACCCTGTGTGTGTCTGTGTGTACCCTGTGTGTGTGTGTGTACCCTGTGTGTGTCTGTGTGTACCCTGTGTGTGTGTGTCTGTGTGTAACCCTGTGTGTGTGTCTGTGTGTACCCTGTGTGTGTCTGTGTGTACCCTGTGTGTGTGTCTGTGTGTACCCTGTGTGTGTGTGTCTGTGTGTACCCTGTCGTGTGTCTGTGTGTAACCCTGTGTGTGTCACTGTGTACCCTGTGTGTGTGTCTGTGTGTAACCCTGTGTGTGTGTCTGTGTGTACCCTGTGTGTGTCTGTGTGTACCCTGTGTGTGTGTCTGTGTGTACCCTGTGTGTGTGTCTGTGTGTACCCTGTGTGTGTCTGTGTGTACCCTGTGTGTGTCTGTGTGTACCCTGTGTGTGTGTCTGTGTGTACCCTGTTTGTGTGTCTGTGTGTACCCTGTGTGTGTGTCTGTGTGTACTCTGTGTGTGTGTCAGTGTGTACCCTGTGTGTGTGTGTCAGTGTGTACCCTGTGTGTGTGTCTGTGTGTACTCTGTGTGTGTGTCAGTGTGTACCTTGTGTGTGTGTCAGTGTGTACCCTGTGTGTGTGTCTGTGTGTACCCTGTGTGTGTGTCTGTGTACCGTGTGTGTCTGTGTGTACCCTGTGTGTGTTTGTGTGTACCCTGTGTGTGTTTGTCTGTGTGTGTTTGTCTGTGTGTACCCTGTGTGTGTTTGTGTGTAACCCTGTGTGTGTGTCTGTGTGTAACCCTGTGTGTGTGTCTGTGTGTAACCCTGTGTGTGTGTCTGTGTGTAACCCTGTGTGTGTGTGTCTGTGTGTAACCCTGTGTGTGTGTCTGTGTGTAACCCTGTGTGTGTGTCTGTGTGTACCCTGTGTGTGTGTCTGTGTGTACCCTGTGTG